GACGTTTTGCCAAAATACGTTGGTTTTCCTTAGCTTTAGACTTCTGACTCGGCTTTTGGAGACATACAGCCAACARAACAAAGGCAGCTTTTAAGGCAGTATGCTGTTTGTCCGAGCAGGCATTCCAATCATTTATGTGTAGAGTCAATTGGTCGATAAAATCTTTTCCGGTTCTCTAATTCTCTATTGTTTGTTTTGATGATTGTTTAACTTGAAAAACTTAGACAAATCCAAAAATATGAACTGTCATTAGAAGGCTAAGGTACACCTTTATGATGGCACAGAACACCAGATTTACAAATTAATGAAAAACACCAAATAAAAAAAGAACAGAAACACAAGTTACAGATACATGATTCAAATGATCAAAATATTATTCAAAGTTATACTGCCAAGACTGTACCATTTCTATTGTTTATGTGACCTATATGACCTATCAGATATTTTGACTAATATAGACGCTCTTGAGCGTAAAGTCGAGCTAGTTATTTTGGAAAACTGAGAAAAAAGACATGGTATCCAAAGAATTTACTTAGAGTTCAGTTCGGTAAAAAATTATGATGTAATAAATTGATAACATATTAACTTAATTCTGTCTTGACTTATTACAAACAAAGACTATCTTGTGAAAATGAAACACCATTGTCACAGGAAGCCCACGTAAGCGATCCATGATCGTCTAGTTTCTCTTAATATATTTTGATTTCAAATCACTTTGTGATTTATCAGTATAGATGAACTGCATGCCTTTGGTAGCACTATTCTTTACATCTAAACCAGACCCTCCTTAGAGCGTCAACTCGGTCGAACTATTTTTGAAAATTGAGAAAGACAGTATATTACATGGTAGGTCAAACACAAGCAAAGTTTTAAATGAGCTCATTTTGAAAAAGTACTGAATAAGCACTTTTCAACACCTTTAGGGCACGAGTACACCTGCTGTCAGGGTCTAGTTTGATGTATAATACTTGTAATTTCGTTAAGATTTCGGTTCGGGTTATGGCGTACGAAGTTTGTGTACTTGTCGTATTTTGTGTCTTGACCCTCAGTACGTTCACAGTGAGGGCGCAAAACGAGAATGAAAATGGAAAGCAGAGCATATTTAAGAGTAATTCTCCTGGAATTATAAAGTATCGGACTTTCTGATAAATTTGAAATTAAACGTATTTGATTTTTTTAATTTTATTTATTTTTTAAGCTGCCTTAAATATATAACTTAAATATATATGTCTGGACTGTAGAAGAACGGACACTTCCTTCGATAACAAACGCAAAATCACCATTTGTATTCAATATGCGCTTATCCCATTTGTCTCCTAGTACAAATTCCAAGTCCTTATTTTAAAGATACAATAAATGGACTTCCCGCGTTCAACTACAGCGAGTGCTTCATCAAACAAGAGTTCTTGCCGGGTCATCTTTTTATCCAGAATACAACCTTCGCTTAATCTCACGATAGCATTCTCCATGCATAACTCAAAATCTTTCCTGTCCATAAGAGAAGCTGTTGATGGTATCTTATAAGGTTCTAAACGCTGAAAAACTCGCTTTACTTCATAACAACAAGACCTCCAAAACAAGACCTCATAACAACAAGACCTCCACTCATCGCACGAATTACTGTAGCCCACAAACTGGATTTTAACATTTTTTATAGTTTTCGATCTTGGCGTTTCTTTCTATCATTTTTCGCCTTAATAACTTCAGTAAAACATTCATTAATGAAGAGTTTCGATAGCTTTCTTTCGAGTACTGATTTCATCGACTCCATGTTGACTATTACATCACGAACGCGTTACTTCCCGCGAAATTTGATACTACAGCGCAAGCGCACTAGCGAAAAAATTGGTCGAGCGTACCTGGACACGAGTGAGAGCTAAATGTTCACGATGTATGGCAATAAGTTTGATATGAAAAAGGGGGATGTTGAGATATCTGCAGCGACTTTGAAACAATAAAAATTATTTTCTCCATACCTTTCCCAGCAAGACAATCATCTCCCTTGTTGCACCGAGTTTTTTATGGAGACTTTTTCTCTGTTCATTGGTATTGCACTGCTTTTGTTCAGAGGCTTTAATTTCATTTCTGACCTAAAAAGACGAAAAAAAAAAACGAAAATAAATAAATAAAAAACCTTCGATATATATTAACGTCGCAAAAAGACTGCCCTGGTTCAGTCCATTAAACCAGCTGCTCTGAACCTTAGGCAAAGATCAGGAATTACAAAGAAGGGGTTTCGGGAGTGACGGGAGTGGGTTGTGCAGAACTGGAGGAGCTAGGTAGATTAACTTTTTCGTCCAACTGTTGAGTGTGAGGAACTGTAGTTCATGTTATTTAGTATTTGTACATTCATATTCCAGAACATTCTAGACGTTTATATTAATGTATCCGTTGTTATAGCAAAGTGCTGAGTCATGCTGAATGGAACTTTCTAGAACAATCTTGATTACGTAATGTCCTATTAATAGTAACACTTGTAATGTCTTAGATTAGGTCATAGGTTATATTTAGAAACATGTTACTATAAGAGCAGAGAGCTTCAATATTGTAGGGAATCTAGAGTGTACAGAGATTCAATAAAGAGTTCACAACAGGTCAAGTATCGGTTCGTGACATGAGCCGATTCGCATTCTAGTACATGCTAGTAGTAGCTCTCAAGGCAACCCTACATTCAATGCATGGGTAACACAACAAGAGTCGTTTCTTTAATAGAAACATCTCATAATCGCATTGATAACATATCCTACCTTCACTTCTTCATATGAAAGTTTTTCCATCTCTTTTTCAGCTTCTTGAATCATGTTTTGGTGCTTCTCCATTTCCCGGCTTGCATCACGCGCTTTCCGTCTGTTGTCTTTCATCCAGTCGTCGAATATCAAATACAAATTATAACCGAAAACCCACCAAAAATTCTTTCCTTTTTCGTCTCTTTCTCTTTGCTCCTTTAAGTGTTTTTCTTTTTCTCTCTCTGCATCACGATAGCGTCTCTCGGCAGCCATTTTGCTTGCTTCTTCGCTTTCTCTAGCCTGTATATATTTCTGTTTCTGAATCCCAAGCTCGCGTTCCTGCTTGGAATATCTCTTCTCTTCATTATACAAGTCATTTATCTCCGCTGTAAGATTCTCCATTCTTTTCTGCTGTGCTGTTTGAAGGCGCAGCAGACCTTTATAGTACATCTCGGACTGTTCCTGGATAAGTTTGGCGTCGTCTCGTACGGAGCAGAGAATGAACGCCGCTTTGTTAGCTTCGCCTTGTTCAATGGCGTCGTACGCCTTTTCTACTTGTTCAAAGCAATAGGTATAGGACTCCAGACTAGCAACTGACATTGCCAAAATAATTATGTCTATGCACTAATGGTTTTGCTCAGTGACATACATGTTCAAGACTCTTATAGACCTAATGGCCTAACGATTCTCATGTCCAACCAATTCAAATCCCGTGTGAAAAGCAACTTTCGTTTCTAAGAACCCAACTGTGAATAATGAAAATACAACGAAGAACAACGAAACTTTCTCCCAGCTGGTTTGAATTGAGTGGAAACGTTTATAACAACAGCCGATTAAGTCTATTCACACTGAAATAGCTCGTGAACTGAAGTTCATCCAATGTCAACAATCCGTGCCATTTGCATACGAGGCCTTTCTGATGTAATAATTCATTTAACATCAAATAGTAATTCATGGTAGACAGAAAACCTCATTGCAGTGAAAATATATTTAAGGACAGCTATTTGTATTCTGGAAACGGAATGGGCCAGTTCTGAGAATATAATGATTTTGATTCTTTGGATCTGGCAAAAAAATGTCAGGGTTAGAAGCTCCCAGTTGCCAAAGAACAAATAATGTGGCATCTCCAGATTAAAACATGCGAGTTTTCACTGCCTTCCAGGCTTTTCAAGGATTTCAAGGAGTAGCGCGATCACTGCGTTTTGTCAAAGAAATTCAATTCAAACAGTTTAGATTTGAGTCTCGGAAGAATACTAATATTTCACTGCAATTTTACACGGAACTACAGTGTGGGGGCACAATATGTATAATCATGGTAATAAATAATAAATGATAAAATTCAAGCATTTCTGAATAAGTTGATGCATTTCTGTTTAACTTTAAACGCTGATTTTGTTTATTTCCATTTAATCTTAAATAGATTCTCAGATTGCAATATCGATATTATTTTTGTGTCTTTCAAAATGTGATCAGTAAGTTAGTATAGTGCAGATAATTTCAAATAAAATAAGTTTATAAACATCATGTCTCTTTTGGCTGAAGGTCTTTGATCTTTTGAGTTGTTTTAAGATTTTCGTTGTCGATGTCATCCTGCTCTTCTTTCATTTCTTTGATAAATGTGCTAGCCATATCTCGTACGTTTTCTCGGGACTCTTCGATCGTTGGGTTCTCTTCAAGGTATTTGTAGAGATTTTCACGCGTGTCCTTGATCTGCAGCATGTAAGTACCACATACCTCACCCAAAGCTACCCACTTTGCGTAGTAATTCATGGCTTTTTGTTTGAACGAAGGAGATGTCCAGACTTTCAGTCGTTTGGCATCGTCTTCAATAGTCATAGCACTTTCGACGTCCCCTTGTAGTTCTTTTCCTGCAAGGTTTCCGCAGTAGTTCTTCATCTGTTTCCAAAACCTAGCTACCCGTATCATGATGGTTGAGAGTGATTTCAAGGCTCCCACCGATTCATGCAGGGCTTTTATGGCCACCTCTGCAAGTTCATCGTCACTTCGGCAGTTCTTGATTCGCTCTGCAAACTCGATACACTGCTGATTCGCTTTTCTTCTCGTTTCTCGTTGTTTCACCGTCATCTCTAAATGCTTCAATTTTTCTTCGCGGGCTTTATCCATAGCGTCTTTGTAGGCACTTTTGTCACCAATATCGGAAAGCTTTTCCAAGACATTTTTAGGGTTTAAGGAAGATACCGAGACACCCTTGAAAGCAATGAAAACGTTTGTGACCGCATCAGTCAAAGTTGTCATAACGTGACCATAGTCATCATAGGCTTTATCTTGGCGCTTTTGAGCCTCGTAATACAGCTTCTCGGCCTTTCTCTCAGCTTCATCTGCGTCCTTTCTTTCTATTTCGGCCCTATCCAACTCCACTTTGTATTCTTCTTGTTGTTTTTTCAATTTGCCTTTCCTTTTTTCTTCTTCATCTTTAGCAGTTTGAGTGACCTTCAAAGCTTCTCGAACATCTTCTTTTGCTGCTTTAAATTCCTTGTGTAGCTCGTCACATGCGTTTGCCATCTTCTCAGCCCATACGGCTAAGTTAGAGAAAGTCTTGAAGGCCATTACTTCCAAGCCATCCAAAAGATACCCATAGGCCCCTTGTAGTTCTCGAAGAACATCCCTGGATGTGGTCTTGAAACTGTGAACTATTACAGCTGACTTGTCTGCCAGTTCGGTTATAGTGTAACCAATGTCTTGGACTTTAATCTGAAGCTCGGTGTGACCCGCTACTCCATTGTAGGCGATGCGCATGCAGTTTCCAAGCTTGGATAAACCGGTGACAAGGCCTTTCAAGTCTAGATCGCTCAGAAGTTCGTCTTTGGCATGTACAACCAAAGCAGTTTCCGCATTTGGAATTTCATCAAGGGAATATATTTCTCCGTGAATTTCAACGTGTTTTTCTTGATCAGCCATGGATAGTAGTAATCGAATGGGAACAGATGATCACTTCTTGGGAGCAGTTTTATGATCCGTTTAGAGTTGAAAACCAGTCTAGCACAATATCCTATTTCTTAGAACAGTGGCTACTGCTGATCGGAACAGGTGTCACTTATTGTTTGGTGTTACGTATTTCCGGGAACCGTGACAAGGTCATGATTCCCATATTTGGAAATTGCGTGAGCGATCACGTTTGTAGCAAGTAAATCAGTTCTGCTTCAGATTCGGTCGTGTTTGGTTGTGTTTTCTCTCTGTGTGTTATCTTTCTCCAACAACTTATATCGAACCTACAGCAAATAACTAGTACAAAATCCATCACTTTTCAACCCGGTCACTTTTCAACCCGGTCACATATATATAGTGACAAAAGAAAGAGTGATGACTGAAAACACATTCGACAAATACATTGTCAACAATCGTTAGTTCAAGCGCTTCACATAAACAATAACAACTGAACAATACAATTCCCAAGAAAATGACTTTAGGTTTAATAGCTAAGTTTATTCCAGTCGGTCGCACCAATATCATACAAGAGCAAATGACTACATTTCAAGAAATAACCTAACTAGTGAGGTTGGCGATGCCTCTTTACATTACTTCACTTTTACTATAATGCATGCTTTCTTTGAAGGGTTCTAAAATTATCACTTCAAAACCGGTCTTCTTAGAACAATACAAGTTCTAAAGTTCTTCGTGTTTTTCTCATCTAACGTCTTAGCCATGATTTGTTTGTCCTCTTGTAGATGCCGATCGTAAAATATACCTAAACGAAAGAACATAGTGAAATATACCGCAAACCGTGTCTTAAAGTTTGCTAATAAACCATACGTTTCTCTTCCATAGTTTTGGTAACTCGTCCGTTGTTTAAAAACTGTAGTTGTTCGGAACTCGAAAATGCAAAACAATGACTTTGTTATTTTAAATTACTAGCAAAGTACTAGAAAAGATTTGGAAAAACAATCGTTCTGAAAAAAATTCTAAAAGCTATGCACTGAACTGATTTACCGTCGTCTCTTATTTTCTTCTACTTCATCAGCTGTTGCTACATCTTTAGACTTGGCTTTCAACATTGCAAATAACTCCCGTGCAACTTTTTCAGATCCACCAAGATTCTATGTTAATATGATATCAATGAGATATCAAATTAAAGCACATCTAGGTGACTTTGATGAAGAATAGTCCGTTTACTGTTGTTTCTGTTTCTTCAGTTTTCTTTTTTTACCTTGTATTTTTGAAACAAATTTTGTAAATGGAGTTCTCCATTCCCTTCTTGTAGAGCATCTTGAAAAGCATCTCTAAAAATAAAAAAAACCTGTCTTGGATTTAGGTGTAATGATTGTTTGAAAAACAGTCTGCAACATCAGGAAGGTGAACAAAAACAACAACAACAAAAAAGAAATAACATGCCAGGTTTTTGTACTTTCACTGAACCGTTGGTGAGTTTCACCAATATTATTATATTATATTATATATTTGTATTTTTCTTACCTCACTTCTTCTTCGCCAAACAGGACATGTTCGTATTCCTCTGTGTTTGAATAATCTGGATTCACAATGTCCGCAATAGCTTTAAGCTTACACTGTAAATCGGATAAGAGCTGATTCGGCCCCAAAAAAGGGGCCAAATCGGTGAGTAAAATATGGCACCCTTTTTTAGGGCTGATTCAGCCCCTTAAATTAAGGGCCATTTTGGCTCCTTCTAAAAGGATCAATTTGGCTCTGAAAATGGGTTAAAACGACCCCTTTGTGATACTGATTTGGAAACTTGGGGTACTGAAACAGTTTTGKGAAAGGCTATTTTGACTCTGTGACATTGACTGTTTTAGCTATAGCAACTAGGGTCAAAATGGTATGTGYAGCCATTGTAGTTCACTGAAAGGAGCCAATATGATCCTAACATTTTGGCTATTTCAGCCTTCAAAAATAGAGTCAAAATGCCATGGGTAACCAATTTAGACCCCTAATATGAGATAATATGACTGTTTTGGCTGTACTAACAGGACCAAAAAAACTGATACGTGTAGCCAATTTGGTTCCCTAATATGATCTGATATGACTTTTTAAAACAAGCTATCCTAGCTTTATTGATACAGTATAAGGTCCCAACTCAATTTCATGAAAATCCATGGCTGGAGTTTGATAACAATRCAATTAAAACACATCATTTTGGTCAAATCAGGACTTTTATTCAGTTGTCTAATAACTTTTACAAACTTACTTTTGATAATCTTGTTGCCTTGATCTGTTCTGAGATAACATTATTACTACTGTACATGTACATATTACACAACATACAGTATATGTTAATGAAGGGTAAATATTTTACTGCTATAAAAATGATATTAATAGCAGAAAATTCAAGAAATGACACTGAAGACTTTTGGTCTTATACACAACTGTTGCACCTACAGTAATGMTCTCTGTATGCTACTATTTTTAGTCTATAATGCTGAAGAACTCCAATAAAGAAATGATTACACAAAATTACATAAATTCTTTTGAAATAGTAATTCTACGAATGCATCTCTCATGCATGCAAATGTAACCTCAAATTTAGTCAAGTAAACATTTAACACTAAAGCCAGTCCATAACCAAGCAATACATATGTAAAGATGCGATACCGAGACCTGGAGCCTCGCACACATCATGTATACACCTCAGTTACAAAAAGAACTTCAATGAAAAAATGATTACACCAAAATATAAATTCCTTTGAAATACCAATTGTAAGAAAGCATCTCTCATGCATGCACATGTAACCTTAAATTTAGTCAAGTAAACATTTAACACTGAAGCCCAGTCCATAACCAAGCAATACATATGTAAA